TAGTCTAGCAAAACCACTGACAACAGAACTGTAAGATGAGATGGCAGACCTTCTAGAATACTTACTCCCTCCAGGTTTCCTCCTTGTAGTATGTTTCTAATAGATTTTATCCTATGAAATTATAAACAAGGACATTTCCATGAGGCTGTTTCACTTTCTCACTACACGAAGTACTCTCCATTTTTATAAGGATGAAAGCTGCTATGAATAGCAAGTAATGTGATCTTTTCATATAGATCAAATAAAATCACAAACATAACACTAACAGAAGCAAGCAGAAAACAGACTCAAAACAAGCAAGATGTACACATGAATGAAAGACAAAAAAACACCCATGAAATTTTTATGAAATGGAGTAGAGGTAGCATCTAGAATAGAAGAGGTAGCATCTAGATTTTCCTTGATTGTCAGGTACCCATTGCTGGACAGTTTTCACAACCCTGTCTGGTGTCTTGGAAAGGTATCTCAGTGAAAAATAGTTCCATGTAATACTATTTCTGAGTAAATAACACCTAGCCCATTGTTTTAGTATTAAAGAATCAACAGGATGTGTTTGGAGTAAGTAGTATACCACAGGTCCCAATGCAGCAAGTAAAATGCTATTTCCTCATTCAACCCACTGCATCTCATTTTCATAGTCAGGAATCTGGGTAATTCTCCACCTTGCAGGAACCACCATAGACTACTTGTACATTTGATCTATTATCCAAACTTTCCCTCTCATCTGGTGCAAAACACCCATAGGTATTTTCAGTGAATCATCTGGCTGGAGGGAAGACACCACTATGATTAAGGAGCTAATATGGCTGCATGCACTGGGGGAGATTCCAATTACACAATTATCATCTTCAGAGAAGGATCAGAATAACCTCTAAGAAGCCACATCTCATACTAACAAAGAAAAAACACGAGCTCCACAATTCCTTGATAAGCAAAGGGAGCACAGTATACCTTTGGGAGTGCAGCAAGAAGAGGTGGAATGAGGAAGAAGTCCTCTGGAAATTCTGGATCACATCTCCCTGTGGTAGTCAGACACCAGGCACAAGACAGAAGACATCTATGAAGTTAAAGAATTTTGCAACCAAAAGACTGCGGTTTCCACAGCTGCATTTCAATCACAGAATGGGCAAGAGGGAGAGAAAAGCATACAAGGCAGCTGTCAAGATTCTAGGAAATAAGGGAAAATAAGAGTTTTTCCTGTGTTTATTTTCATCATGATAAACAGATTAGGACATGAGTGCTCCTTCCCAATACAGCCCTGTCGTGGTTTAAACCCAGTCAGGTAACTCGTTCGCTCACTTCCCCCCCTTTCTTGCCCTCCCCCTGCTCCCAGAGGGACGGAGAGGAGAATCAAAAAGAATGCAACTCCCACGGGTTGAGATAAGAACAGTTTAGTAACTAAGGTATAACACAAATCACTACTGCTACCACCAGTGATAATAATGATAAAGGAAATAACAAGGGAAGAGAATACAACACCTCAGCACCAGCCGACCGATAACTTGCCCCCCTCAGTCCGACCAAGCACCGACCGATACCTCCTCCAGCCCTGCAGACTCCCAGCTCTTCCGGCTAACTCTCCATTACATCCTGGGCATGACGTGCTGTGGTATGGAATACCTCTTTGGTCAGTTTGGGTCAGGTGTCCTGTCTCTGCTTCCTCCTGGCTTCCCCTCCTCCCTGGCAGAGCATGAGGCTCACAAAGTCCTTGGCCAAACCAAAACATCGCTATCAGTTCTGTTTCCAGGCCGAAAGTCAAAACACTGCACTGCACCAGCTACCAAGAAGGAGAAAAATGACTGCTACTGCTGAACCCAGGACAAGCCCCAAACTAAACTCTGACTATATTTCAGTATTAACTACTGGTATGCAAGATTTTGCTTCCAGCATCTTCCAAGTGCTAGAAGACTGACAGTTATATTAGGTTATTCACATAAGGCCAGCAGAAGCTTTCTCAGGTACTTAAAAGAGCTGATTTACAGCAATTATCCCAAATAACAAATGTGGACCTAACCCTTCCCTTTCACAAAGAGGCTGTTCATCTCTAATTAGCAGTTCTCCTACTTAATCAGAATGTCTGGATTAGTCCATACTGTTTCTCTTTATTAATCAGGAAGATGTGTTATAGCAAAGGGACCTCCTTCTCTGAAAATATAATAAGGGAAGCTGGCTCTTCAAACACCTGAAGTTAGCACTACCTTTTCCAATTATGAAAAAAAATTCCTCTTTTTTCACTTGAGCAAGCGGATTTTCCTAGTTTATTTGATAAACTACAGCTGTCACACCTTCCCGGCAGACAGAAACCCGCTGGAGAAGTCGTGACAGTCTGGTGAAGTTCCTGCTGACTGGAAAAGGAGAACTAATAACCCCCTTAAAAAAAAAAAACAAAAAACCAAACACAACAAAAAAAACACAACAAAACACCAAAAAAAAACCCCCACACACACGCAAAAAAAAAAACAAACAGGAAAAAGGAAGATCCAGGGACTCAGAGGCCAGTCAGTCTCACATTGTTGCCTGGCAAGATCATGGAGCAGGTCCTCCTGGAAACTATGCTAAGGCACACAGAAAACAGAAAGGTGGTTGGTGACAGCCAACATGGGCTGTCACCATGTTCACTAAGGGCAAATTGTGCCCAACAAATCTGGTGATCTTCTATGATAGGCCAGAGCAACTGTTTAGAACCAGAGAGAGAGCAAGAATGAGTCAATACCAAAAGCCAAAATTAAAGAATAATGAACTATTCTTTTAATGCTGACAGAATACTTACAGCTTCAGCAGATCAACAGTTGTTTAGAAAAAGTGTAAAAGGTGTAAAAATTTGTTTAGAAAAAGTGTAGGAAAACCTAATATCACAGTTTCAATGCATAGAGACATAACCCACAGCAAAGCAAACAGTGGCGCAGCCTGTCCTTTAGCTCACATTTCCTTAATTACCTAGGCCCATTACCATTCAACACTGTTTGTAAAGAGCTACAGAGCTCTCACACCTGAACATTACCAACATATGCATTCTTCAATATCCAAGAGAGCTGAAATCACCTAAGAGCCTCAGGGCTTTTCTGCAGAAGAATGCTTTCTGAGAGAGATACACAGTTAACACAGTCCTATTTGTGCCAGTAAAGCCCCCATGCGGGCACAAATTCTGAGAACACAATGCTTTTTTCCCTTGCAGACAAATCTCCAGTAGCATTTGAGTAATTCACTTGAAATCTTAACATCAAAGAAGCTAATATGCCCAAGTGACTGTACTTTTGCTCAAGCCAATAGGAACAAAACGCAGACGTGGTGAACACTGTTGCATCTGTAGTTCCTGATACGACTTCACTACAAAGAACTTGTACAGAGAACAAAAAGTCAGTTCCTTGCAACCAAGAATTTAATTAATAAAAGGGAAAAGAGATGCACATGGATGTTGGCATAAGGCAGACAGGACAACAAAAGATGTGGAGCTTGGGAAAGAAATAATCCATAAAAATGAACCAAAAGGCCACATTCTTATGCAAAATGAGATTTCTTGTTCCCATCCCATTTTTTTGCTCTCCTTTGACAGGACACCCTTGACAGATTGTCTGACCTGACAATGGAAAGGTGAAAGCACAGTATAAGCAGTCGCTCCTGCTTGTGCTATCCGCCAAAACCCCAAGAGCAGGCTGACCTTCATTCCCAGTGCCAGAAACATGAGGTCAATATTAACGTTTAAAAAGGTTGTCCTGAGCTCAGCAACATTTATTTTAAAGCTATGGAAAGGAAACTTTCCAAAGCTGGAAGGAGGAAATAGAAAGGTCTTTCCGCAGCTGCAAGAACTACCTTACAAGCCTTTCAATTGCAGCAGGATGAGCTAATAAAGCTGGCCGTTAAACCCTAGAGGTTCAGTGTTCAAATTCTGCTTCAAGTTCACAAATGAAATGAACATCTTATGCTTACTAAGTACTCAGAGGAATCAAGCCACATCAGAAAATGACTATACTATTTGACTAGACTCATTGAAAATGCATTGGAGACAGGCAGCAGTCTGTTGGCAGAACATTCTCCAAAACCTTGCCTCCTAGTGTCCCACTAGCAGTGTTAGTTGCCTGCTTTTGTAAGATGCATTTTTAAAAGAGGCTTCCTGATCAATGCTAATACCAAGTTTTCAATGTGTACTACTAGACTCATTCAACCTACATACAAAATATGCATATAGTTATACTTTTCAATTAAAGCATATACTTTAGCTATTACCCTTTAAACAGCTTTCTACTGGGTATCACAGAATCAGAATGGTTATACACAAGCCTGTCCTACTACTACTCAGTAATGTGAACAGCCACCTAGGAAATTATTTTCTCTAGCTCAGTTATCTCAAGCAGCAACCTTCATAAGCCTTTTCACAGAAAGCCTTGCCTCACTTTTAAAAATTAAATACAATGTCCAAAAAACATAAACTAGACCCAGGAATTAAAAATTCCTAGTGCAAATTTCTCATAAACCCTTCACACAGTGGAGCCCAAAGGGAAACAGAGGAATGATTAATCTTCAGAACCAGAAAGACAGTATTGTTAGTTTAAATCTTGATTTTTCTGTACAAATTATTTCAGTATAAAATTAACTGAAGCAGGGGTAACTCACTGGGTTATCTGTAAAATAGCACCTTGACTGAATTATTGGCACATCTGTGTACAGAACATCCCAGGCGTAGCTAACTTCGAGATGCAACTCAAAGGCAACAGCTTGGCCACCACTACCGCATCACTGACCATCACTGGACAGTGAATGGAAGGAAGCAGAAGTTTGTCTATGGTCCACTGTCCAATCAGAAAAACGTCCTACAATAGCTTACTTCTAATAAAATTTTTCTACAACGGGCTCCACGTACTACTTTATTCCTACAGAGAACTAGCAACGCATAATACAGTCAAAAGACACAAAATACAGCCAAAATTCTCCAGTTTCTGATGCAATGGATTGCTCTAATTCACAAAAATTACTCTGTGACTGTAGAAAAGCCAAGCTCCTACCTGATTTGCAAGTCCTGCCATCGTCTTCCAGCTGCACACCAGTGGGGCAGGCACAGCTGTAGAAGGGGTCTCTTGGAGAGAGCAGGCACAGATGGGAGCAACCACCATTGTTTTCTTCACATGGAGTGTGAACTGCAAGAAACCAAACACATTTATTTTCATATTTCTAGAACCATTAAAGCCCTCTTTTCTCCATGAGAAAGAATGTATAGATTCAAAATGAATGGCACAACAAGCAGAGGAACCACAATATAAAGTGTTTGATTCTCTCCTGTCCAGCATCTCACTTGTAGGGACACCTAAATTGAGATGCACACAAGAGCTGATTTTGAAAGAGCTGACAGCTCAGCACATTCACACTATGCAGTTCTTTCAATGTTTCTAAAGCTGAAACAGCTAACAGCTTTGGACTTCAATTACTTTGTGGATGCTGCATCTGCTAAGTATCATGAAAATGGAAAACAGGGCTTGAAGGATGGTGATGGTGGAGGGGGTGACCAGTTCTAGGAAAGAAAGGAAAATACAACAATTTGTACAATTCCTATATTACAGTTGTGTTGCATGTTGGAAATACCTTGGAAATCTTTTTCAAAAGCTTTCACAGCAAGACAAGTCCCTGAATCATCAGGAAGTACAGAACAGCAACATGTAAAGTCCTCAATTTTGAAAATATTAAAAAAATCGGAGGGGAGGCAGGCAGGGACAGGATGGGGACAGACACGAGAACTGCATGTACCTACCTCATTTATATGGGGGAAAAATGGCAGCAAGAGATCAAACTCTAGCCACAAATAATTATGGACAATATTGTCAGCTATTAAAGAAAAAAACCTGCAAGTTGTGCAAGATCTGTCAGTTATAGTTTGAATAAGCATCTGAACTGCTTTAATATAAAACTACAAAATTTCCAGCTAATTTGGCTTGTCTTACTTCCACTGACAGTCACAAAGAGGGAAAAAAAGGGAGAGGAAGAAATCCAAGCCTGATCTTTATGAAGTCAATGGCATCTGAGCTATTTTCAGCATATGCCATTTCCCTATACACCATATTTTCTTTGTGACTGACCCAGAAATACGATGACCCAAGGCTGGGACATTCCCTGAGCTAAAAGCAATGCCAGGAATTCAGCACAGACAAACTCTTATCTGGAGCTGTGAGATAAACCAGGGTGCTGTGCATACCCGACAACCTCAATGAAAACTTGCACATGTTCCATCACCAAGATGATCTCCAAACTTCTTTTGTTTACTTTCAGTCCTGTTTACTGACATCTTATAAACTCTACTGGAATAGCAAACATTATCTTCAGGGAAGCAGACTTTACTGGCATAAATAAACAGCTGGCATAAATAAAGCAGCAAATCCAAAGTACAATCCTAGGCAAGAGGTGATTCTTCCCATAGCTACTCAATTATATACGTTTCCACCACTGCTTTCAAGTCCCATTCTCACAATACTGAAAAAGACCCACCTGGACTAACATAGCTACATGCAGCCAAAAAAACAACTTAGGCCGCATAGTATCACATGCATATACAAAATATATACCACATCATGCAATTTTCAGTTCTCTTCACCTGCCTTCCTCTGAGGTAGCATCACACACAAAGGAAAAATAGAGGCAGGTATATGTTTCATATAAGAGCTCAGATTTTAGTCCCTTCCATACTGAAGCATTCATCACCTATTTGTTACATATTGAAGATAAACATGATCAAGTCTGGAATGCAAAATCTGTATCTGTAAGATCAGGAACATTACATATTTTGGGGTAATTCTACTTACTAAAAAAAAGTAATGATATGCATTTTTTTCCAGTTGTCTTTAAAATATTAGTGTTAAAAAGATGCCAGCTGAGGTTTTATCATTTTCATTCTAGTATTTCAAATCACAAGATGTCACTGAAGTACAGCACTGGATTTTGAATTTTGTTATCCCAAGTGGGATGATGATTGAGCTCATATCAATTCATGTTGGAATTTTCAAAGAAAGGTACAGGATTCAGGTACTCACATACCTTTAGAAACCAATCTCCTGAAGGGTATTCAAAACCCCATGACTTCATACTAACCATTTTGTGATTAACATTTATCCTAATAAATAAGTAACAGTCACGCAAAAAGTTTCAGGGGAAGTAAAACATACAGTATGGCTGCCGATCTGGGCTTAAAACCTGGATGTCCATTGGTGAATATAGGGAAGACAGTATTTCTCTCCTTTTCTCTCCTGTCCTTTTGTTACAGGCATGAATGGAGCGTGTTTGCCAGTCTGTCCAATACAAAGTGTCCCCAGATAATGTCAGTGCAAAGGGATGAGTAAGACTACCTTCGACAACTTTTTGCCTGGATCAAAGAAAAAACAAGGATTAAAAATGCATTGATTCCACGTGTTACCATGCAGAAAAAAAACCAAACCAAACTAGCTTTGTAAAAACTCACAGGAATTGGATTTTTTTTTTTAACAGATTCACTGGACCAAGAGATTAATCTGGTGATAAATGATAAACAGACTTTAAAATATAAACCAAGACTTTGCTCCTTCATAAAATTAAAGACAAGAGCATACTCAATTTCATAGTGATGTGGTATCTGGTCAGTTCCACAATGACCCCTGAAAGACCACACCTAAGCTCCTTAACAAGGCTGTGCAAATACCCAAACACAATTGCCTTTCAGAGTCCTACATCCAACATAAGAAGGATGTAACGTGTTGGAGCAAGTCCAGAGGAGATCACAAAGATGCTCTGAGGCCTGGAGCAGCTCTGCTCTGGAGACATGCTGAGAGAGCTGGCCTTGTTCAGCCTGGAGAAGAGAAGACTCCAGGGAGACCTTAGAGCAACTTCCAGCCCCTAAAGGGGCTGGCAAGAAAGCTGAAGAGGGGCTTTTGGCAAGGGCCTGTAGTGATAGGACAAGGGGGAATGGCTTTAAACTGACAGAGGGGAGATTGAGATCTTAGGCAGAAATTCTTCCCTGTGAAGGTGGTGAGGCCCTGGCACAGGTTGCCCAGAGCAGCTGTGGCTGCCCCATCCCTGGCAGTGCTCAAGGCCAGGCTGGACAAGGCTTGGAGCAACCTGGTCTAGTAGAAGGTGTCCCTGCCTGTGCCAGTGGGTTGGAACTGAATGAGTTTTAAGGTCCCTTCCAACCCAAACCAGTCTGGGATTCTACAATCTGGAGGAAACATAGGTCCGAAGAGTGCTCCTCCTATTAAAACATTAGGTTTTTTTGTCCTCTATTCAACAGATGATATTTTCTCCAGAACTTCAGTTGTACTCAGGCCTTTGTTGCAGCAGAAAAAAAGAATAAATGACCTGAGAGTCTCTTTAAATTACCCCTCTTAACTTGGTCAGCAGCAGATTTAAATGTAGAGCAGTGGCTGTATTCTAGTGTCATAGCAGCTGTTTTCCAGAATACATTGCCCCTATTTCCATCATTCTTAGATATCAAATCTCCCCTTCTGTAATTACATCCCTTGAAACAGTTCCAGCCTATGTGCTTGCGAATTGATGGGTGCTAAGATGTAACCGGCAGGTTGCTCCAGCAACATTCATTCACCATGCAGAAGGCAAATTTCATTTTTATTGTAATTCTGAAGGAATTCTGAAGTGATTCTGTGACAAGGGATGGTAGAAGCCTTTGAAACACTGTAAGGTTTCTTTATTGGCAAGTCTGGGTGAAACCAATTTAGGAAACTTAAACTCTGTGTTTAAGGAACAGAAGCAGCCTCCATAGTTATCATCTAGTTTGAACCAGTATTGAAGTCTACCTAGACACCAGAACCTGTAAGTCCCAACTTCACAGACTTTTGTTTCAATGCTTATCAGTAGAAGGCAAAAAAGAATAAAAATTTCCTTTTAGAAAAGAGTTAAAATTAAGATCAATATTCATGGCATTTTATTAATAAGCATAACATTTTAAGAAGGAAGTTTTATCATATTGTAACAATATGAAATATACACAGCTAAATGACATCAAGCTATTATATTGCACAATGCAGTTAGACCCAAGGAATTACCAGAATGCATCCAGCATAGGAATATCCTTAAGCATGCATTTACAACCTCCAGGAGTTAAGTAAAAGATGTAAGAAGTGTACAACATTGAGCCTTTTTTTTTTTAAATGCAAAATACACTATTTTTTTTAAAATATTGTTCCATTTACAGTTCAGTAAAAAACTGCTTGGGAGGTGGTGGACATGCACTGATCTATCACAAAGCAATTTGGACAGATTCCTGGAATTGGTGTATTCAAAAGCTCGCTTCCTTTTGGGTGGCCCTTTTCTACTTTAAAATGAGCAAAATAGATGTTATTAACCAACTGCAACTGTTCACACATTAATGCAAGTAAAGTTTACACAATTTGTATGTGCATGATAACCGCAGAATCAGTGTGGAAACCTTACTTGCTGCCACTTACCCCCACATCAGAGAAATATATTCATGTTCTGTTGTATGAAAATCTCTCTTAGATTTTGAATTTTGAAAGAGCACTTTCTTTCTATGAACTTGCAGCCAGCCTTTGAGCTACTGCTCCCTTCTATAAAGGCCTTTTCCCTTGTCTAGACTTCTGTCAGTCAGTACTTGTCACTTACTACAATGCAACCATTATCCAGCTCTTACATAGTGCTCTCAAAGGAACTTAAGAGTGTTTTATAAAGGGTGGCAATATTGCTATTCCTCTTTGATGAGTGTGCAAATCAGGCACAGAATGCACCTCAGTAAAAAAAAAATGAAAAACACCACGGAAAATGCAGTGGGTTGGTTTTTTTTCTTTTCTTGAGGAAGGGGGGATATTACTCTTTTTCACAGATATGCATAAAATACAACTCCTCAAAGTCTTTACGAAAGCAAAATGATTTCATAACATAGGCATTTAAGATATTTTGAAATCACAGAAACGAAAATGCCATTTTAAACCACCTGAAGACCAAAGCGAGACCAAAATGCAGAGACTCGCCTCCTCAGCAGGACATTTCAGTGGCTGATGACATACTTCAGGGACCAACCTGCCTATTGAACACTACCCAGAACTGAAGGTGCAGTCTCCAACTTCTAGGTGTGCCCTGTCTGAAGGGTCACCTCTTTGTGTATACAAAAGCCAAAACTCAACAGCACACTTAGTTCGGAGCCACCAACCAAAATTTCCATACTGTACTTTCTACCAAGTTTTAAGAAAATCTGCTTCCTTCTTGCTTGCAGTCTGAAATAAGCTGAATTTGGTTAATTTACAGGCATGCCACAAAGGACATGTTTGAATGAGGACAAGAATAAGTGTGTCTCAATGTATATTTCCTGTTTAAAAAAAAAAGATATAGTAACAATACTGTAAAATTCCAGTCACTTGTTAAACATTAGATCGCCTAGGGCCATGGATAAGCATCTCCAACTACTTGCAAGACAAGCGTGAGCCTAAAATTGAAAAATCCTGCTGTACAACAAGGCTATAAATAGTCTACAGTGAAACATTGACAGAAATAGTCTTACTATTAAAACTATTTTTACAGGACGTAAGGTTACTTTACTTTTTGCAAGGCTATTAACGATTGCATTTAAAAAGAACAATAAGGCACTGGCATTATTTTAGATTACTGAAAAGAAATGCCTCAGTTCAAAATTTATGCAGGAGGTGAGAAATAACTTACACTGTAAATAACATAACTTACCTAAATGAGCCATCCAGATTTGCCCTATGAATGAAACTCAGTTTTGCATCAGCCCAGTAAAGTTTCTGCTCATCAAGATCTATCGTGAGCCCATTTGGCCAATAAATATCTGAATTGACAATTATTTTTCGTGTGCTGCTGTCCATTCCTGCCCGTTCTATTCTGGGTGTTTCACCCCAGTCAGTCCAATACATGTATCTGAAAAGGAAAGCAGAGATGCACACAGATTAAATCACAATACAAGGTGGTTAGGTTTAGGAACAGAAGGGATAAAGTATTTGTAGAATCATAGTATTGTGGAAGGGTTTAGGGTTGGAAGGGACCTTAAAGCTCATCCAGTTCCAGCCCCCTGCCATGGGCAGGGACACCTTTTGCTAGACCAGGTTGCTCCAAGCCCTGTCCAACCTGGCCTTGAACACTTCCAGAGATGGAGCAGCCACAACTTAATGTAAATCAAGCCACAGCTTCAGAGGATGCAAAAAAAAGTCCTTCATAAGACCATCTCTCGCAAGCATTGCCTCTGCATAGTGTATTCCCCTTCCTTTCCAATGTTGGACAGCACCTGACTGTCATAAGCATTTACAACTAAGCAACACCATTACACATTCTTGCACGGCCAGTTACTACAAGTTAATATTCTAAACCACATCTGAAGCAACTAATCACCAATCCAAGCAGCCACTGACCATAGCTGAACCTCCTTTTGCAAGTCTGTATGCAGAAAAGAATTAGAATCATAGAATAGTTCAGATTGGAAAGGACCTTAAGACCATCTAGTTCCAAACTCCCTGCCATGGGCAGGGACACTTCACATGACCACATCACCCCAAGACTCCATCCAACCTGGCCTTGAACAATGCCAGGGATGGAGACAAGCCAAGAGCCCTGACATCTGTTTCTGACAGTAAGTAACTAATGAATCCATGCAGACTTAGAATGTCACTATTTTAAATTTTGGGTGCTTCCCCCCACCTCCCATCCATGTCCCAGTTTGCCTTTGTAATAGAAAGATGCTCCTGTAAAATGCAGTAGCCCAGTAGCTGCTTCACATGCAGCTGGGGCCATCATTCCAGGCAAGGAAGAACAGGCAGCTGTACTGTTATTCCCAGCACGTCATTCACAGCTCAGGCTTAAAATGCTCTGATCGCCATATACATACTGCACCCTGATTCAGCTGTACCTCCAGTTCCAGCACCTATTTAGACCATTCTGGTCATAGCAGCATATATGATCATTAGCATGTTTATCCCAATGAAGAGGAGAATATAGATGAAAATACAGACAGATGGACAGGCAGATAGAAATGACTCGCATCACAATACACATACACTTGAGTGTGGGAGGGTAAAACAAGGAGTTTTCTAGTTGAAATGGCAAAGCTTCCATACAGATGAGTCCTCAGACTTCTGAGACAGCTCACCTCATAGTGGCTGCAGCGGACTTGTGTCCCCAGATGCCTTCCCCAAAACATGTCAGCTCCAGCAGCCAGGATAGACTGACTGCTCCTGAAGAAGCGGCAGCAGTCGCTGAGCTGCCCCAGTTCACAGGACAACCTATAAATATAAATTGCCGCTCATTTTGGTTTTCCTTAACAAGTCAGGCTGTAATTTGTGGCAGCTCAAACTCTGTGGGGAAGCAGCTATTGACAAACAACAGAAGCCAGGGAAAAGCAGACATAAAAGAAACTGTCTGTGCAACCAGCTAGTGAATCAGACTGTGAACCGGATCTGGCCAAATACTCATTTTTGATCAAGTCAAATCAGTTCCCTGCTCTGACCCACTTGCACTAGCTTGAAATATTCAAAGGGCACACTGAGCCACCTCTAAAGAAATGAAAATATTGAATTAAGAAAAACCTGATTATTAAAGGTGACTTTGGGCTGTATTACATGGCTATGACAGTCTCACACCTATACATATATTGAAATGTATAAATGCAGACTAAAAAGGAGCTTTACCCAAATCAAAACTCCCATGACAGTTGTTTAAAAGCAAAAACAGAGGAGACAGAACTAGCTAAGTCAAATTAAACCTTAGAGGCAGGTTAAAATAAAAAGGATTTAAAAAAAATCCCCCAAATTACCCTTCAAGCTAAATTCCTTTCCTCAAGCTTCTTACTAAAATAGCAACCTGCCCCAAAGCATAATGCATTTAGGTGACAGAAAAGGGGAAGAAAGTAGGTAAGCCAAACAGCCCTCATAGCTTTTCTATGATACTAAAGGAGCTCTATCTCAAGAGCCCCTTCCCCCCTAAAAAAACCCATTGCTTAATTTCATAGGTGATTGTTGTATAACCTTGGCCACTCAGAGGCTGCTGGACAACAGTAGTACTTTCAACTTCACACATTAATTTGCCACAGGAAAATTACATTCCTGCATTTTAGTTCACTAACAGATACCAAGCTCAATCCTTACCGAAGCCTGGTCATTCAGAAGTTTAAAAGTATACAGTATTAGCAAAGTAACTGTACCACTAAGGAAGGCTAGCAGAATAAAGATGAATTCAGACAACAAGTAGATCAATCTGAATGTAGGCAGCGTTCTTTCAAAGCACTCCTCTCCCAGCCGGACTTCTTTAATGCAAAGTATAAAAGATTATTTTTACTCTGTCACCACCTTGTCCTGATTGCAGTGTTTCTCTGCAGTCCTGCAAGTATCATAAAGCTGATCTTCCTGGTGAACTTTGTTTCAGAGTATGACGAGTCTCTGCAGTAATCAAACACCTACTGAAGTAATGGTTTTGTTCCCTCAGGTGCTACAAAGAACCCCTGTGGTCTATCACGGGAAAGCATGCCAAGCAATGGAATGGCAGGAGCAATTCTTGACTCCATTTAACCCCTTCCCCTTTTCCAACAGCTTTCCACTTTCCTGGCAAGCAGCAGGTGCTGAATTGCCATGAAATACAGAATATCAGGTCTGGTTTACATGAATTATATGAACTATAGCATATCAATTCTCTTAACACAAGACCCCAAACTGGGAGTTTCAGTATCACTGCAAGAAGAGATCAGCTGTACCTGGAGCAGAAGTGGAGGTCTCTGGTCTCTGTAAGCCTATTTAAAACCACACCACTTATCTTCTCCAGGCTGAAGAAGCCTAGCACTCTCAGCCTGTCGCCATAGCAAAGGTGCTCCAGCCCTCGAAGCATCTTCACGGCCTCTTCTGGACTTGCTTGAGCAGGTCCATGTCCCTCTTATGTAAATTCATTCTCAATCCAAGAACAAATACAACCCAGCTTGTGTTTGTCCTTAGTATTGTCCTGGCCCAGGTGCCGGACCTTGCACTTGGCCTTTTTCAGCTCCATAAGGTTTGGACCATCCCACCTCTCCAGCCTGTCCAAGTCCCTCTGGATCCCATCCCTTCCCTCCAGCATGTCAACCACACCACACAGCTTGGTGCCATCAGCAAACTTGCTGAGAGTGCACTTGATCCCACTGTCCATGTCACTGACAAAGATGTTGAGCAGCACTGGTGTCAACACACTGACTCCTGAGGAGCAACACTCAACACTGGCCTCCACGCGGCATGAAGCTGTTGACCACAACTATCTGAGTGCAATCATCTAGCCAATTCTTTATCCACTGAATGGTCCACCTGTCAAATCCATGCCTCAGCAACTTAGACTGCAACCACACAGCTGAAACCACCTATGAAACTTCAACAGAGAAACAGGCATTAACTCCAGCTCCCTCTGAATAAGCCACTCACAAATTACAGCCTTGGACTCTACAATTAGCTAGGGCCATCCTCTTCATCCTTCTTCTGCCACCATAACATCTAGGCTGTTTTGACAATTTTAGTTAACGCAAGGCACAACACAACATTGGATATCAGACTCTCATAAGCCATAAAACGCCACGTTTTAAATGCATGCCTGTATGGCATTGTCAAGAATGCACAAAGTCTGAAGCTTGCTTTTTTTTTTTTTACCCTCCTCTATTTTGAATGACAAAGCTAGTTCAAACCGAAGTAAGTACAAATACCATCCTGGCTGTGACACCCTGCACCGAGATTCAGCTGAAGACCGAAATCTTTTGGACAAGTTGGAGAAAAAAAGAAAAATCCACAGTTATTACGGAAAGAATGACACAAGTTCAGCTGAAGCAGCACTGCAAATGTAACTTGAATTTTCATACCTCAACATAGAAATTTTGGGGCGGGGAGAGCTTCTTTGATTTGAATAGTTACTAAGAGAAAGCCAAAGGCTTTATACCTACCCTTTAAGTTACCCATGGATCTGTTTAAGATAATAAGTCTTCTGTCAAAACTACTGAATGTGCTTGCACTATCCATGCTCATCAGAGAGCACACCAAACAGTGGAGAAATTATATATTCTAGTGAACTCAGGTAGTAGCCGTTATTACTTACACTTGGCATCTTCCAAATGCTCCCCATGGCATAAGATCAATTGTTACACAAACACCAGATGGTTTTGGTTGGGGTTTTATGGGGTGGGGGGGGGGGGTGGGGAGAACATGGGAAAAAACTCAGAATGGCATCTCAGAGTTAAAAAATTTAGTCTGCACACCATTTGTATGTAAGGAACTGATTTAAATTGAGCTGATTTAAATTTACCTGTTAAGATTACCTAATTCAGAAGCTCGGAGTGGTAACAGGCATACTATTTCTGCAGAACAAAAGACCACCCATGCTCAATAGTCTCCATTTCTTACTGAGCTCAACAAGACCCAAACACTTTGAAATAATCTAGACATCATCAGTGTTTCTGGACAGCTGACAGTTTGGGATTGATTTTTTTGATTTTCAAATATAAACTTTTTTGCTGGTGTCAAGTACATTGGCAATCCCTATCATTTTTATTTCACTATTAAATATATATATATACACACATATATATATATATTTAGCCCAGGTAAATTCAGAGAAATTCAGCAGACTATGCAAGGAATCTCAGTCCAGTACTGCCTGTGATATTAACCACTCCCTGTTTTGGAAGCCTGTTTAAAAAAATGTAACACATGTATTTGGGTAGTTTATTTGCTTGATTTTGTTGCTGGTAGTGGTGTTTTTCAATGTACATTACACAGTTCTAAATATCTCTGGGCCAGGCCATACCATAACAGCTGTAAGCAGCTAGAAATATCAAAGCCAGTATTTGATGTCTTAGGACACATTAGAGCACATTTTGGGGAGTGAGATTTGGCATCCTGGGAGTTTTGCATCCCACCTGGATTGCA